AGCTGAGACCTCCCTCGCGAAGTAATACTTTACGGTGGATGATCCAAGGATGATGCAGAGGTAGTGAGCAAGATTCCAGAAGTGGAAATGGAAAGAAAAGACTTGGGCGAGATCACCACGAAAGAGGAAATCTGGGAAGCTATCCAGAAGCAAGATGGTGTAAATTGAAACATTTCCATGAGCACCATCAAGTCTCTCCGAAAGGCCTATGGAGGAACGCAGAGAGCGATCATCAAAGTCACCACAGACGTGGCCTCGCAGTTGGAAGAGAAAGGCAAGATCCGGATAGGTTGGGTCAACTGCCGCATTAGCGCTACGAACAGGCCGATAAAGTGCTTCAAGTGCTGGCGCTACGGCCATCTCGCCACTCAATGCAAGAGCGAAGTCGATAGATCGAAACTGTGTGTCAGATGTGCTGATGCTGGCCACAAGATCGCAGAATGTAGGAAGGAGCCCCGATGTGCCCTGTGTATCGAAAAAGGGGGCGTTGAGAACTGTGCCCATATTGCTGGTAGCAGCAGATGCCCAGCATATAAGGAGGCGCTCCAGAAGCTTACCAGCGGACGGAAATGAGAGTACTACAGCTCAACCTCAACCACTGTGAGGCCGCACACGATCTGCTCATGCAGACGGTGCGGGAGCGGAAGGTTGATCTGGTCTGCATCTCACAGCCATATAGACATCTTGGCACCCAATCCTGGGTTACTGATACCAGTAAGAAGGCTGTCATCTGGGCTTGTGGGAATCGATCTTTCCAGAGCACCACCAGTAGCAATGAGTATGGCTTTGTGAGGGTGAAGGTTTATGGCATATATGTCTACAGCTGCTACGCCCCGCCGAGCCTTTCGATCGATGACTTCACCGACTTCTTGGATAGGCTGACCGAGGATGTGAAGGAGCACTTTCCCGTGGCAATCGCCGGGGACTTCAACGCCTGGGCAGTCGACTGGGGAAATAAGTAGACAAAGCCCAAAGGACAAGCCGTACTTAAGGTCATGTAATCGCTGCACTTGCTGCGCTTGGTCTTGCTCAACCGAGATCAGGAACCGACCTTCATGAGAGGAAACGCGAGCTTAATCGTGGATCTTACCCTCGTGAGCAGCAGCCTTGCAAGAGGAAACTGCTCGTGGGAGGTAACCGGAATATACACAGGTAGCGACCACCGTGCGATACTCTGGGAGGTTTTCACCCACCAGAGACGCGGACGCGCACCGAAGAAGACCAATGCAGTAGGCTGGAAAGTGAGCTACTTCGATCCTAACCTCTATTTAGTGACCATGGACGATATCCCAATCTGGCAATAATGCTACTGAGAAGGCAAAGATCATCATGAGGAGACTCTCGGAAGCGTGCGACGCCACCATGCCTAGGAAGCGAGGTATCAATCGCCGGCTACCAGTATATTGGTGGAATGATACCATCGCGAATCTGCGTAAGGAATGTAATGCAGCAAGAAGATCATCTCATCGCCGCCGGAAGAAACCAAACTTTGCTGAACTGGAGATGAGGTATAAGAAGGCGCGCCATAAGCTCAACAAGGCTATCAAGCGCAGCAAAGCACATTCCTGGAATGAGCTGACTGCTGAAGTGGAAGGCGATCCGTGGGGCAAACCGTACAAGGTGGTGATGACGCGGCTCAAAAGCCAACCCATGCCAACCATCGCCAACGTGCCCGGAGCTCTTGGAGAAGATCGTCACGGTGCTTTTCCCACAACAACCAAAATTTCAGCGTGCCGACAGACGAGGAAAATACTTGATTTCACCAATTACTGAGGATGAGCTGATGGAGGCGTGCGCTAGGGTCGGGAACACAAAGGCCCCCGGGCTTGATGGGATTCCCAACATTGCGCTGAAAGCCGCTATCCATGCATTGCTGGGCCTATTCCTGGACGTGTACAATGAGTGTCTCGGTGAGGGCGCCTTCCCTGCAAAGTAGAAACAGCAGATGCTGGTGCTACTCCCGAAAGGGAAAAAACCACCAGACGAACCTTCATCCTACCGTCCCCTCTGCATGCTCGATACAGCTGGTAAGATACTCGAGCGCATCGTTCACAGGAGAATAGAAGCAGTAGTTGAACCATTGCTCGCCAACAACCAGTACGGCTTTCGGAGAAGCCGATCCACCCTTGAAGAAATCAATCTGGTTGTTGATACAGCTAGAGAAGCGGTTTCAGGGAAAAGATGGTACAGGGGCATGAAGAAATACTGCTTAGTGGCAACATTGGACATCAGGAATGCCTTCAACTCAGCCAGATGGGACTGCATTATGGAGGCCCTCGAGAGTTTCAGTGTGCCTGAGTACCTTCGGAGGATAGTAGACGATTATTTCACCGGGAGGGTTCTCACGTACGCCACGGAATGTGGCCCCAAAGAGTACAGAGTCACTGGAGGGGTGCCTCAGGGCTCGGTGCTGGGTCCTCTCCTGTCTAACATCATGTACGATGGTCTGCTGAAGCTGACACTACCACCTGATGTGAGTCTCGTAGCTTTTGCGGACGATATGGCCGTGGTGATCGTGGGGAAAACACGTGGAGGACATCAAACTTGCCTTCGAAGGAACTTTCGGTGCGGTTCGCCGTTGGACTCAGTTGAGCTGAGCCTGGCTGAGCATAAAACCGAGACCGTGTTGATCACGAGCAGAAAGGTCTTAGAGACAATCACGCTGCAAGTCGGGGACTATGAACTCACATCTCAGCCGTACATCCCGTATTTGGGGGTGATGATTGATGCCCGGCTCAATTTCAAACAGCAGGTGGAACATCTGACTACCAAAGCATCTGGAGTTCGAGCTGCCTTATCACGCCTCATGCACAACATTGAAGGCCCCAAGCAGAGAAGACGAGCGTTACTGTCGTCGGTGATTATGTCAGTACTCACCTACGGCATTGCCATTTGGGCGGATGCGCTCCAAGTCCAGGAGATCCGACGCAAAGTGGCAGCTGTTCACAGACTAAGTGCCCTTAGAGTCGCCAGCGCATTTCGCACTGTATCCGATGATGCCGCGTGTGTCATAGCCGGAATGATGCCGATTAAACTACAAGCAGAGGAACGAAGATTCCTGTGCCGGCAAAAAGGATGGACCTCACTGAGCCCAACCGAGCTTAAGGCAGAGGCGAGACGTAAGAGCATGGATAGATGGCAGTCCCAATGGGGCACCTCTCCGAAAGGGAGATGGACGTATCGCCTGATCCCGCAAGTGCTTGGGTAAACCGTGAACATGGTGAGATAAACTACTACTTAACACAGCTGCTTTCAGGACATGGGTGTTTCCGAGGGTATCTTCATAATTTCAAACATGAGGATTTCCCGGATTGCCCGACGTACCCGGGTATTGAGGAAGACGCAGAGAATGTGTTTTTTGTATGTTCACGTTTCAGAACGAGCCGCTCGGAGCGGGAGTCTGCACTTGGTGGAACGATCCTGCCTGAGAACCTGGTGGAAGCAATGCTGTCATCACAGGCAGCCTGGGACGCAACGAGTAACTTCGCGGCGAAGGTCATGAAGGAGCTCCGTGAGGAAGAACACCGTCGAAATAACGCTGCATAGAAGGAAGAGCTACCGGAACCTCCCCCCTCTCCGCTAACATCTGAGTGAGGTAGGAGGACGTACGGCCCAGCGTTTTGAACAGAGGGAGAGCAACAGCTGATGTCCCCCCGTTGACGTAATGCCTGCCGGCGGTTCCACGGGGATATGGGGTTAGTAGAAAAGAGGAGAAAAGGGAGTTTTACTGAGTACAAATCTCAGATCTGGTTTTTAATATCACTTTACCAGAATCTTTTGAAGATTTCCCCCAAACCTCTTAAAAAAACACACACACTCACACGTGTCTTCAAAATTCGTTGAAAATGATTCTAAACGTCAAGAAACGTGGACAAATCATGAAAATTCCACATTCGATTTCCGGGGTCATTACTATAACTACCCGATAGATCGGGAAGTTAAAAAGCAATTCTACCTGAATCTAGTGCCATTCTATTGAGACACATTTCCTCTTATTTTGAGAAAGTTTTGGCTCTAGAATCCAGAACTGTTGGGTTCATAAAATCAGAATGTTGGGGTTCTTGTATCGAAAATATGTGGATTCGCAATATAAGAAAATAATCGTTCTTTAATGAATGATTTTTTCTTTTTTTAAATTAATCTACCTGACACCTTGACTCAAATTAATGTTGAACTAATATTAGATTATTCCGGAATTTCAATTCTTTGAAATGATGTCCATTTAAGAACCAAAGAGTTTTCAATTCAAAAGCGCAATGGTTTAATATTTCAGCATTTTTCTCACTTGAAATAAATAAGTTTTTAATATTGATTTCCGATTTTTTTTTCTGAAACTAAGTTAATATAGGTCTGAAAGCCAGAAACTTTCTTTCCCTGTGAATGAGACAGAAAAAAGAATCAAGGAATTAAATCTGTCGCAAACTGTAAAAAGAGAAAGATGATTCCTGGAATTCAGTGAAAGCTATTCGACACATATCTTCGTAGTTAAAAGAATCATAGAAAAATATCAAAAGAGTTTCTTGCAGTCCATACAATTTCCTGAAAAAAAACATGTTTTGATATTTTTCTCAAACATCACTAGTCGCCGGAATAATTCCACAATTAATCAAATATAATTCTTGAATTTGCCTGCATAATAATACAAATAAATAAGTGGTGATCTAATGAGCCATGTTAATAACTTGTCCATACCAACATTATGGAAATTTCATTTTTTACTTGAAAAACATTTTTTACTTGAAAATTCAGAAATAATTTTCTATCAATGTGATGACAAAAAAAACTGCCGATCGATTTCTTCAATTTTCACAACATCCCCCCTGTTTATATTTTTCGTAAACAAGGTTGACAGAAATTGGTAGGCGGAAAAAATAGACCAGGAAAAAATAGCCCATACGCCCAAAACGTGCTAAAACTCACCGAACTTGAAAATTTCCCTTGTTCTATTTTTTCTTTCCCTTGGTCTATTTTTTCCGGGATTCACAGATATTATTCCTCACCAACACGTGATTTTTTGCTAGGAAGGAGCGTGGCAATGTGCGAGGGATCTCTCTGCAACACCTGCTGCAAATCCGCCTCGGTAGCAGCGGGATAACGTTCCTGATAAAATTCCGCACCAGCTTCTTCCCAGCCATGTCCCTTATCACTTCCACGTTTCTTTCTCTCACCACCCGACATATTTTTCTCAGTAAATAATTTGTGACTGTCGCAAAGCCTCAAAACACAATTCCACCCCAGTTGAACCTCAATAAGCCACAAATGCTAAAAATATCTTGACTTATTTCCAAGCTTTTTCAGGCCAAGTCTTGAAGTTCCGTGGCCCCATTTCTCCGTACTAGCCGCCTTATCAACCACCACTGGAATAACACTCGATTATTCCTTCGCAGTAATCTGTCATTGTCGCCGTCCAAGCTCAATAACACTTATATTTGTTTACTCATTTATTGTTTTCGAGTTGCACACGCGTCAGTCATTACCAATGGTTGATTCATCGATTGTTTTTTTTCGAGTTGGAAAAAAATTGAAATTATCGAATTGAACGTCAGAGACAGGAAAATGGCGATTGTGGAGGGGAGAAGAAAATTGAATCTTCTTTACCGATGGTGGTTTCAGAGTTAGTTGGGTTGTTCACTGAAGATCGGCAGTATTGTCCATGGCCAGAGACAGAGCCTGAATGTAACAGGATGTACAGTCGTCAAATTAAGTTCCGCCAGTCCGTGAAGTTGGCTAGTGATTGGGGATGCATGGAGTATAGGGACCGAAACGAACGAGCGGTTCGTACCTCGATGGTTTTAGTTCGTGCTCCAGTGATTGGATAGAGTGGGGGAATTTGGACGGATTTTCAATGCCGGCACGGCGACTGAAACCTCCACAATAACAAAAACAAAGTAAATATCCGGAGCACAGTGGGTTTAGGAAAAAAATTGCATAATTTAGAAAAATATATGTATTTAATTGTCACTGACGGTGCTGATGAGTTGGCAAGTATTGGAGTATTTTGTATTTTCTTTATCTGGGTAAATATTTAATCATTTTGAGAATGAGTTATTCTGGAGAGGGAAATTGTCAAAAGACAGATTGCCATAGATTTTCTCAACTACACAGAAGTCTCTTGACATAAACTCCGAAAATTGCGCATTCTATAATCTATTGACAATATCATTGTTGAATGAAAACTTTTCTCAATTTTGTTATGGATGCAATATGAAAATAAAAGGATAATAATATTTGAAACTTTTGATCCAGACAGACTATCGCAAACAAATTCTATTTGCTATTCATGAAATTTTCTGAACGATTTTTTTTTTTGTTAAAGGGTTTGTTTATTTGATTTGAATGTAAAGTAAGTGATAACGTTTTTTTTAAGCAGAATTCTTAAAATATCAATTCTTGTCAATTTTCATTGCAGATATGGGGGCGAAACATCGAGAAGAAATTGACACTTTCGATCAGATGCTCTAGTGAATTGAATCAACAAACAAAATAAATAATCTGAAGCCATTGGATCCGAGAAAGAATTGAATAATTCACCTGAATATATTTATGATATTCACATTCATGGTGCTTATAGCTAAGAGAAAAACAAGGTATTCGACTTGGCAAGTCTTCAATTATTTTAGTAACGACTGATTTTAAAGGGGAAAGTGAAAAGAGAAAGATTTTTCATGAATATTTTATCAACTACATAAGAGGTCTTTTCACATCAATTCCTAAAATCATTTTAGTAGAAACAAAATCTGCTGGCAAAATTTGTTTAGAAAACTTTTCTCAATTTTTTTTATTGATTGAATATGAGAATAAAAGAATAATAATATTTGAAACTTTTAATTCAGCCAGATTCTATCAGAAACACTTTCTATTTTCTTTTTATAGTATTTCCCAAACCACTTTGGCTATTGAATAGTTTGTTTATTTTTATTAGAGTGTAAAGTAACTGACAAAGGCTTTTATCTGTAATTAAATGAATTCCGCAAGTTTCTACCATTTGCAGAGAAAGATGTTGATCTTTGCAAATTTTTATTGCAGATATCGGGCGAAACATCTGACAGACTAAGCATTTTCACGAAATTCAGGGGTAAATTGAATGAACTACCAAAATGAATGATCTGGGCTAGGTGGGTCAGAAAAAAATTAAAGAAAATTTTCTGGAAATTTCAAGTGTTTAATTCAATTCCCCAGAATGGCCGTAGAATTTCGATTATCTCGAGAACTACAATAGTCAAAACCTCAAATCAGAATTCATAATGAAGCTAGGAAAATCTCCAACCCCACCCACCCTTTATGAACTCGTTTGGCCACAGGATTCCCCCAAAAAACCACAAAATCACATTTCTGTCCAAGATTCGGTTTCACTGATTATCTCGATAAAGAATGCCCCGACACATCACCAGCTTCTGTCTGGATCAGGAACTCCCGTATGGACTCCCTGACATGATCAACCCCCACCCCTTGACCCCAGAATTCTAAAAAAAATGGCAAGAAGTTTAATTCGATTCCCCAAAATGTCCATAGAATTTAGATCCTTTCAAGAACTTCAATAGTGAGAACGTCAAATCAGAATTCATAATGAAGCCAGGAAAATTTCTAATCCCACCCACCCTTTATGAACCCGTTTTGCCCCAGGATTACCTCAAAAATCCCACGAAATCACCTTTCTGTCCAAGATTCGGTTTCACTGATTAGCTCGAGAACGAATGCTCCAAGAGACATCACCAGCTTCTTTTTGGATCAGGAACTCCCCTATGGACTCCCTGACATGACCCACTCCTACCCAATTGCCAACAGCACATACAGTTTCAAAAAATGTCGTGACATTATACTCAATCGTTTTTAATCCTGCATTATTTCTAAATGTTATTTTTTTTCATCATCATTTTTTGTTATTTTGTTTAGACTGGACGTTGGCGAGTATCCATCTCAGCCACAATTTTTGTGCTTTGTTTTCAATCTCTTTTCCTCCGTTCCAGATTTCAATGATTTTTTCCTTTTGAATAGCCATCTGGGTATTGATGTCTACGATGTGTCCATCTATCTCTTCCAGCTTCCCTGTTTGCCTAAAAGAAACAGAAGATAACAAACGTCAATTACTCTTATGACATATTCTATCGTTAGTGGATTCCTGAAAACGTTTTCAACAACAAAATAACATAGAAGCAATGATTAACCAGGGCCAGGCAAAAATTCGCCCACAATCGCTTTGTGCAGATGGGCCAATTCTAAATGCAAAAAAAATCAACCCATAGATCTCTGTCCTCGCGTCACGTATGACAAAATTTAATAGAAAAACTTAGCGATTTCGTTAGACAATTCTATGTGTTTTTTGTAGAAATTCCATTACTTTTTGGCCGTTTCTATTAAAATGTTCAAGAGAAAATATCGGATAGAAAAATTCAATAGAATTCGATTTTTCTATACAACTTATTCTATTGAAATATTTTCTATTGAATTTTCTCGAATTTTCTTAATTGAAGTTTTTTTCATTCAACTTTTCTTTTCTTCCTTTCAAGAAAATCAAACAAAAAAACTTAGAAAATTTGAGCCGAAGAAATTCCATGGAAAATATTTCAATAGAATAAGTTGTATAAAAAAATCGAATTCTATTGACTTTTTCTATAGAATATTTTCTATCGAACATGTCCTATAGAAATACAATAGAATTGTCTAGCGAATGAGCTAGGTTTTTCTACTAAAGTTTTTCATGTGTGTTTCATTACAATTGTAGGCAATAGAATGCCATACGTATGGAAAAATTTAGTAGAAAAGTCTAGCGCTCTCCCTTAGAAATTCTATTGAATTTCTATCGGAACTCTATACGAATTACATTGAAGTTCTATTAGAATTTTGTTGAAAAATTCTATTTGTTTTTGATTCCGAATGGAAGCATTGTATTTGATCGATTTCCATATATTCTACATTTGCCTGAAAATGATGTAGAATGTTATAAAACGTAAAGAAATGATGTTTAGAAAAAATGTCTGTACGTCTGTGTGTGACAGATTGAGTTTTCGTCCATTATTTTTTAGAAAAAATAACATTAATGCCGTGAAATTCATCCATAAAAATCTTCAATTTTGCATCAAAATAGGTACTATCAATGCGCAATTTTTGAGCGCAATTTGAAGTCAATCGGTCCAGTAGTTTCTGAGATATAGTCATTTATCGAAATTTTGTTTTTCCTTAATATCTCGAAAACTATTCCCCCGATCGAATTTTTTTTTTTTCAAAATATTTGTCTTGATTTTTTCTATCTCAATCACTCAAAATATATATACCCGTTCATACTAAGTTTTCGAAATACTGCGGTTTTTCTGTTTTTTGCGTAAAAACCTTGTACGCACGCTAGCTCGAGAAAAAATCAAGATAGGAAGTTGAAATTTGGTAGGATTCTAGCTATTGTAATCCTACAGCTTGGTATTGTGTTTGAGCTAAATCGGATGAGTAGTTCCTGAGATATAGTAATTTATCTGAATTTCGTTTTTCCTTAATATCTCATCAACCATTGACCCGATTCAATTTTTTTCTTTCCAAAATATTCGTCTCGATTTTTTCTATCTCGATCACTCAAAATACGTATAACCGTTCATACAAAGTTTTCGAGATACTGCGGTTTTTCAGTTTTTTGCATAAACACCTTGATTTAAATTAAAATCCAATGTGGGCTCTACAATACGCGTTAAACATGGACTAAACATCTGAGATTCTGGCTACTAGTTTGCAGAATTGGCCCACATTCACGTATAAAATTTTGTGTCAATCGATTCAGTACATCCTGTTTTTGCTTCCGAATGGAAGCTTTGCAATCGTTCGATTTTTCGATTCTCCAATTTTGCTTCGAAATTATGTAGAATGGTCTGAAACGGAAAAATACGAAGTTTGACGACCATGTCTGCATGTGAACACGTACACTGCCGCCTTCCCGGTGGTCAATTTTTAGAAATTTGAGTAATAAGGTAACTAAAGTATTTCCAAAAAATCTGAAATTTTGTCAGATTATAGGACTTACTGAGGACTAACTCTGTGCATAATTTCAGCTCGATCGGTCCAATAGTTTTTGAGAAAAAACGATTTGTATTTGAATCGTTTTTCGCGTATATCTTCAAAACTAGTGGACCGATTCGACTTTTTTTTTCAAAATATTCGTCTTGATGGCCTCCATCTAGATCAATCAAAACATATATATCCATCCCTACAAAGTTTTCGAGATATTTCCGCTTTTCTGTTTTTTCATTAAAATCCATGTACGCGCTCTAGCCCTCGTAAAAATGGAGATATCAACTCAAAATTTCGACAGAATCTTCCTCTCATGATAACAACGGTTGGTATTGAAGATGGGCTCAATCGCAACAGTAGTTCCGGAGATATTCGACTTTTTCTGAAAATCTATCATATGCAATAACTTTAAAACGACGCAACCGATTTGACTTTTTTTTAAATATTCGTCTTGTTTTGTATCAATTCTATCAAAATTTATGCTCATCCCCCATGCGTTTTTAAATACATATTTGTCAATAGATAAATGTCTATAGATGTTTTTTTTTCATATAATTTCTGTTGAGATTTTTTCTATAAGAATTTTTGGGCATCAATTTTCTATTTTTTTTTATTGTTCAGAATTTTATTATGAGGAAAAAAAATACAACGGAAAAAAATTTGAAAATTCACGCTCATGAATTTCTATAGAATGAAAATCTTTCGACTTTTTTCTGTAAAATATCTGTCAACCAAATGACACGGTAAAGTTGCATATTCTTCTATAGAAATGGCACAAAAAACAAGTAGAATTTTCCAATAGAATTCTATAGAACTTCAGAAAAATTCTTATTTAAATCGAAATTCAATAGAATTTCTCAGAGAAAGCGCTATTGCGGCTGAATTTTATAGTGTGAAATTTGATCGGTGGTGACCACCCTCTGCACTCTGGTGCCCCCATCGTGAGTTCAAGTATTGACAGCTGACGCGCAGGCGCAGTGCCTGGAGGCCATTAGTGGTTTCAGCGCCAATCGTAGGAGAGAATTCAAAAACCGCTGAGTTCAGGCGGAGCTTGTGAAGAATGGAAGGAGGGTTACAGGGAAAAAGAAATGGTGGAGATTACGGTCGCAACATCCACAAAGAAGTTTCATCAAAAGTCTTCGATTATGCCATTCTAAAGTAGTGCAATCGGAAGATTGCTTGTCTCTCCCTCTTCCCCCCCTATACGCACACACGTTATTCAATTTCCCATAAAGAGTTGAAAAAAATGATTCTTTTCCAAAAATTTAGTTTTTAACGATCACTCCAAAAAAATCTATACAAACGGGTTTAATCGTGGCTCAAGCAATTGATATAAATAAGGTGAATGTCATAGTAGCTGAACGCTTAGGCCCTGTAGATTAACGTGCAGGTAAAACATCACAATTTTCGCTGGCCAAAGAACGAATTCACTTTGAGCATGTGCAATTGGTTCCTCTGAATGAACTACCAAAAAGTGATACCCTGGTGATCCAGGAGCTACGGTACGTGCGTGGCTGTAGCGTGGCTAATAGGATTGTCATTTTCTGGAGCTAAAAAGGGGGAAATGATATCTGAAAACACAATAAACGTGGAAAGACGAATTTTTGAAGTGAAACTTCTTTAGGGAGGGTACGAAAAATTTCAGCGCGACACGAAAAGTGAAAAGTTTTGAGGGGAACGGGTTAGTCAGTAAGTGGGGGGCTAGTCAAGCGTAGGGGAGCCGCGCGTGAGTGAAGAAAATCCGAGGCGACACGAAACATGTAAGGATCGGTAGTGGGGGTAAGCCTAGAGTGGGGCCGTACGCCTTGCTATGCCTGAGACCAGGGATGGGCATTTCGG